AGGGCTCTGCCCGGCTGGGTGCCGGGAGCACCGGCCGAGAAGGCGAACAGGGGCGGGGGTACAGGGTCGTCCCTCACGGCTCTGTGCCCGGTGGGCTCTTGCTTCGAGGCGGACCTTGCCTTTGAAGGTTTCTCAGCTTAGACCACCCCAGGATCATCCTGTCAGCGCTGTGTGGCAGTAACTTGAGGCAGTGCCCTATGGAGGGAACGCCTAGGCTGTCAGGAGCATGAAAACGTTGATTAAAGTTTTTTTTTTTTCTCACTTTAGTTTTGCTGTTTCTTTGCATCTGTTGTGATCTAAGCACCCGCCACACTGGTGTGTGCCACAGAGGTGTCTAACCCATCTCCTAGTGTGGGTATTGCTGTGCCCTCCAACACAGCCCTTTGTGTGTGGTTTAAGGCAAGGCTTTTGTTTAAATGAGGCCTCCAGCGTGATTTGATTGGAGAGTGTTCTGTGGGTTTGTTCCCTGCAGTGGAAAAGCACCGGCCGTCTGAGTAGGTGATGGAGGAAGAAGAGTCATGGGACAGCTTTGTGAATCGTGCCAGGGTTCTTTTGTGATCAATTTAAACAAGTCTGAGCTGCTCTGTTATAGCAAGCATCACTCCCAAGAGGTTACCCCCTCAGGCCAGCATCAGCAAACACCATGAAAAGGGTTCGTGCATTGCAGGAGGGGCAGGGCTGGTGTTCAGTGCGTTAGTAAATGTTACTTTAGATGTGTTGAAGTTGCTTTTAGATCTGAGTACTGGCTTCAGGATGGGTCCTGGATTCCAGCAGGGAAGTGGCTGTGTTGTCCTTACTGCTGTGCTGCAGGCTCACCAGCAGCAGTCCTTCAGGTTCCCTCTTGTGTGAGGGTGTCTTTACAGTTTAAGAACTGACTTCCAGTGTCTCTGAAACGAAAAACAGAGATGCAGAGAGGAAAAAGAGAAACTTTTCATGTGTTTTGAGCATATGTTTCTGTTTATGGATGTGCTTTCTCCAAACTGGGTTATAAACAACATCTTCAGAGTCATGTGGCAAGTCTGCTGCATAACCAGGAACAATATTCAGGTCTCCCAGCTGCTAGTCCTGCAGCTTACCCACAATATTTTCGTGTTTGGAAGTATCTGTCTCGCAGCATGTGGAAAGGTTAAGCAGTCACAGCACTTTTCCAATAGTTGCCTTTTTGTTTTTTTCCTTTATCCTCTTTCTCAGAGCCTTCTGGCACAAACACTTTCCCCCACACGTCAAGGTCTTGGTGGAGTCCTGCTGAGACAACACATAATTCGAGATCCAGCCAGACTTTGGAATCTCCTAGGTGAGTCCCAAAGAGCCACAGAGGGGAAAAGGCCTCATTTGTTAGGAGTATTGGTTCTTCCTTACCTTCACTGCCCTGCCTTCCTGAATCTGAAGCAAAGCTGTTCTGTTGCTGGCTTTGGGAGCTGCTACAGGGGTTCTAGGTGTTTTGTTTGGTGGCAGGGATGAGCAGCAGCTCCTTTCCACAGGGAGCTCAGCATGGTTCAGTTGAGTTATTAGCCCTAAAAACTAACGTGCACTCACACATCCACGCACTGTCCTCCAGCAGGGATGAGCAGCCCAGTCTCCCAGCTCACTCCTGACTGGAGCCATGGGAAATGGAAGCTGCTGTCCTCCACTTGGCTCTCTCACTTCTGAGCTTCCTGCATTTTACTGCAAAAAAAAAAAATGCCTTTGCTTGCTGTTTTGGAGCAGTGAGTGTCAGTCTTGCTGTTGGTAGCTTTACTGCCTTAGCTTTTATTAGAGTATCCTAACAGTATTTGCTGAGAAACCTGCATTTAGCTCCAGCACTCCCATTTTTTCTGACAAGCATTTGCAGCTCCTGGTGTGAGGCAGTTCCTGCCTGACCACTGTTAACAGTGGGTTTGTGCCTTGGGGAGTGGGGACGTGTAGCAACCCTCCAGAAATTTCTCCCAATTATTTTCTTTGCTGTGTTAAAATGACCTCTGGACCGAGCCATACTTGGATTGGATTGTCAAGGAGTAGATGTGTCATACAAGGAGACTGCAGGAGTGTGTCCCTCCTGGTGCTCTCTCTGGCAAGGCTGCCCCATTTCCTCAGCACATGGAGGGAGCTGTGGGGCTCCCATGTATTTCTGCCACCCTTAGTTCCTTTATCTCAGTATCTCCTGAGGTCTCCTGGTAGTAACTCCTCAACTCTGCTTGCCTGCAGGTAGCACTTACTATTTTACTACTTCAGCCTCTCAAAGGAGCAACCAGAAGAATGGAGGATTCAAGAAGAGATCTCCACAGGAGGATGAAGGTAAGTGTGTGCCAAAAAAAAAATGTATTTAATGAAACAAACCCTGTGGGTGAGGGTGGACAGTGTGGAAGATCCACCTCAATGCTGCTGTGTGGGCACTCTAAACCTCTACCTGTAGCTTCACCCCCCATGCCTGAGGTTTGAAGGGCTATTTTGGCTTAGATGATGGAACGGTAAGATTTAAGAGAGATTGTTTCTTTTTCTTTCATCCTATGCAAATAACTTCACTGGTGTGTGCCTCAGTTTTGCTGCTTTATGGAAGGGAGCAGGGTGTTAACTGAGTTTTGCTTTGGAGGTTTTGTTGTACAGCATTTTGACTTAATACCCAGAAGTTCTTTAAGCTACACTCTGTTTTTTCTTGTATTTTGTTTATCTTCACTGTGGGTGTGTGTACTTCTAGTGGTTTACAGAGCTCAGAGTTAAAATCCTTTCCTTAAAGAGTTCTTAGCTGTGTTACTAATGGCACTAGCTCGGAATTTTTCTGGGTTTTTTAAACCAGTTTTCCTCAACACTGTTTTTTGCATGTCTTCTCCTGCCCAAGCCCCAGGCATCCCACTGTACAGGACTTTTGAAAATGAGTTTTAACACATTGAACATGTTCAGTCCTTGTGTGACTTGTGTCAGGCTGTGTTCTGATCCTTGCAGGAGGCACAATTATCTTCTACCAGGAGGTTTTCACCAAACATTTTTCAAATACAAGTGGATTTCTGGGTGTCCCTTCAAGCCTTGGTGTATTGTTGTCAGATTTCTGCTATTTGTAGCTCGACAGCAGCTGCATTCCATTTAAAATGTGTCATTTGACTCTTCCACTTGTGTAACTCTTTGCTTGTTTGGGAGTACCTGCCTCCCAGATACTGAAATGCATGCAGAGATCTTGTAGGCTCTGGACAGATCATGTTTCCAGACTCTCTGGTGTGGATTTTTAGCAGTTGAAGGTGTGTCCACTGGCCTGGTGGGACAGCTTCAGAAAGGTGTCAGAAGTGGCCTGAGTGAAGGTCTTGTTCTCCTGTCTTGTTGGCAGTGCTTGCAGAAGCATAGCAGAGCTCAGAGCTTTCTTCATTCATGCTAGGAGGACATTAGTTGATGCTTATAGGAACTGGTGATGTCTTGAGTGAGTTTGTGGATGTCTGCTGTGCTGCTTGTTTCCTTGGCCTTTAAGTGAGGGATAAACGTGTAGATAGAGGTTCCAGAGCTTTGTGGTGTGAGCTGGAAAGCACTTTAACATCATGCTCCAGTCACACAGGTTATACTGCAGGGTAGTAGTTCTATATCTCCCTGACAGGAGGCTGGAGCCAGGTGGGGGTCGGGCTCTGCTCACAAGGAACAAGGGACAGGACAACAGGAAACAGCCTCAAGTTGCCCCAGGGGAGGTTGAGGTTGGAACTGAGGAACAATTTCTTCCCTCTGATGGTTGCCCAGGTCTGTGCCAGGCTGCCCAGGGCAGTGGTGGAGTCCCCACCCCTGGAGGGGTTTCCAAGCTGTGGAGATGTGGTGTGAGGGACACGGTTTTGACCCCTGTAACTGGGCCAAGTCTTCTTTGGGGTGCAGGTACCGTGGTGTCCTTGTTGAGGAGGTCAGAGCTTGGAGGTTGGGCCCTTGGTGGCTGCAGGGCTGCCCAGGGTGACTGAGCAGAGCCCCTGGTGGTGCTGTGGCTGGTGAGATCAGCAGACATGGTGCTGCCTTCATGGCCTCTCTCTGCCATGATTAATGTGTAGCGTGGCTTTGGGAGGAGGAATTGCTGCCCCTTATCTCCAGGGGAATACTCCTCTCTGCAGTAATTATTTAAAAGAACTCTTCAAACTGTCACTGCAGCCCTTGCAGGATTTTAATGGGAGAGTTCAGGTTTGGGGTTAATGGCAAATCATTGCTTCATGGAGGCTTTTTGAGACTCAGAAGCTGGAAGTGTTCCCACAGCTGTTGCTTGCAAGTGTCACATCCAGTGACTGCTTCTCATTTGCTGACTGTTGTGGGGTGGCTTATGGTGCAGGATGAATGTTGTGCTGTAAAGAGCCACATTTTACACAAGCTTAGAAGCAGATTGGGTTTTGTCCTTTGTTAAATGCAGCGTAGGGAGAGCTTGGTGTTGTCTTCTGGCTTTCTAGATATGATGTTTTCTCCTGAAGTTATTCAGCTGGGGGTTAAATGTCCTAGACAAGCCTAATTCCTAGAAGCTGGGGAAGTTGTTTGTGTCAGGTTATCCAGTAGCCAGCTTTTACCCTGTGGTGGTGTGTATGACTTGTATCCTCAGTTCCATGTGCTTCAGAACTTAATCTCTGCATCCTCACTGTGTCTGGAGTTTAACTTATTTAATTAATGAATCCAGAGAAGTGCTTGAGCTGTGGTTGACTCTGACACCTCCACGGAACCCATGGAGATAGTCACACTTTTTTTCCATCAATGCTTTTCTAGAGCAGTTTCTTTTCTGTGCAGAATCATTTTATTTAGAACCTGCCCAACTTTTCAGTATATTGCCCAGACTGAGGTCTCTATCATACTGTATTTTAATTTTCTTTAACAAGACTGTGGTGGGTGTCATCCTGCAGCTCTGTGGTTAATTGCTTTGCTCTGATGAAGCTGGATCTAGCAGATAGCAGAGAAGTGAGGAGATGGCATGGACAAACAGTGCATGGGCTGGATGTGGTGCCTGAGCCTGTCCCTGGCTCTGGAAATGATGACCTGAGCTGAAAAGCTGCATTGTTTCTATTTAGGAACGAGTCTTTCCTGTTAAATGTGGAGCAGAGCTGGGGAACAAGTGAAAAATGCTGCTGTGCCCCTGAAGGACAGAGTCCTTTTTTTAGCCTCTAAGCGGGTCATGTGTTTGTCCCCTGGTTTGGCCGCGGCGTGCGTAGGGTCTGATTGGTGCCTAGTGATAAATGCTCCTGTCAGAACGTTTGCTGGGAATCTGCAAATAAATGGGGCCTGGGCTGCAGCAGGCAGGGGCACTGGCAGGCCAGGGGTGCAGAGCTCATTTATTGCTGGGGGTGGAATAGCATTTGTGCATCACCGTGCTGCTGATGCTCAAGTGGACATCAGGCACCAGTTTCTGTCTCGAGAACACACACCTAGGACTGGGGGGAGGAGGAGGAGATACTTGTTGTGGTCCTGATGACTCAAGCACCAGTCAGCAGCTGACCTTGAACTACACTGTGGTGGTTCTTTGCAGGCCACAGAATTTTAAACTGGCCCACGAGGTGCAAAAAAAGGTTGAGTCCAAAAAAAAAAAAGTGTGGTGCTGTGGGATACAACTGTGACTGGTTTTACTCCTGATATTTTCTGATAGATTGCTGACAGCAGCCTGAGGGCTGGGCTGTGTAGAAGCACAGAAAGGTCTGGGAACATCCTGCAGCCCAAAAAACTGACTCACCTGAGTAACATTGGACGAGTCCCACAACTTCCTTCGTGAGCCAAGCCAGAAAATCACCTGTGCAGTGCAAGTTAGGTGCTGCTGCTCAGTCTAGTCCTTCAGGAGACCCCAAGCATGCCACAAAAAGTCCCCAAAAGCTACTGTTGTGTTAGAATTTGTCATTTAATTGTCCCTTCTTTGGGTCAGAATGCTCTGCAATGACATGCTCCCCTCTTTGTTTTCCTAAAGAGGAGGAGAAACGCAGGAGAAGGGAAAACCAGCTGCACGTGGAGCGCTTACGGGCCCTCCTCATCCTCACCTTCCTCGTGCTGATGTTCCGGTTCATGGTGGGGGAGAACAGAGAAGGGACCAACATCTCCTGGAACTACTTTGTGAACGAGATGCTGGCCAAGGGGGAGGTCCAGAGAATCGAGGTGGTGCCTGAGAGTGATATCGTGGAGATCTACCTGCACCCGGGAGGAACCCCACGTGGGCAAGTTGTGAGTGGCTTTCTGCTTTGGGATGGATCATCTCAGATTGTGCTGTTGGAAATAATTGGATTCATGAGGATGTATGTTTGGGGGTTTTTTTGCTTTATTTGCTGTATTTGCTTCAAAGCATGGTAAATTTGCTCTTTGTTAATTTTTCTCTTTCTTGTGTTTGAAGTTCAGGGGACTTTTGTTACTTATGTCAACCTGGAAGCTAAGACTTTTATCTTAAATGGTAAAAATAATGAATAATGGCCTGGAAGAGAAACTTAGGTCTATCTAAAAAGGTGGAAGAAATCAGTAAGTTTTTCTACAGGCTCAGACTGATAGGTTGAGGAGGTGTCTACAGGAATGTAAACTCTTATTACTCAGTCTTGTTTCACAAATCTTCTGTTTGGATTTCAGTGTCAGGTGTTGTGTCAAACTCCATTAGACTTCCTTCCTAAATCTTCCAAAACAGAAAGAAAGCAAAGTTTGATCACGTGCTTACTTCCAGGAGCTGGCACTGAGAATCACTATAACCTGGCTTGAGAGGTTTAAACACTGCTCTTGGATACATCCCTTTCGTTCAGTGACTCGTGAGCTGTTTGCAGACTGCTGGATGAAGTTAATTTCTGACAGAGAAATTAGATCCAGGAAGTCTCAAGTGGAGCCCAGGGCACCTCCTTCCCAGCAACAGAGTTTTCCATGGATAGGACAAAATTCTGTCTGAGCCCACAGTGTCAGTGTAACTGGATTTATCACATGAACTCCAGCCTTTGGCTTGCACAGAAAGTTGTTGCATCTTCTTGTTGCTAGAGAGCCCAGATATAGTTAATAATTTAATAGAGTCTGGGGGTGAAGGGCTGGAGAGCAGCCCTGTGGAGAAGGACTTGGGGGTGCTGGGGGGTGAAAAGCTGGACAGGAGCCAGCCCTGGGCACTCGCAGCCCAGAAGCCCCTGGCAGCCTGGGCTGTATCAAAAGCAGCAGATGGAGAGAGGGGATTCTGCTCCCCTGACCCAGTGAGACCTCTCCTGGGGTTCTGTGTCCAGCTCTGGAGCCCCCAGCACAGGAGGGACATGAACCTGTTGGAATGGGGCCAGAGGAGGTCACAAAAATCATCAGAGGGCTGGAACCCCTCTGCTGTGAGGCCAGGCTGAGAGAGTTGGGCTTGTTCAGCCTGGAGAAGGGAAGGCTCTGGGGAGACCTTCTTGTAGCACTTAAGGGGGCATATTAGAAAGCTGGGGACAGACTTTTTAGCAGGGCCTGTTGAGACAGGACAAGGAGTGGTGGTTTTAAACTCAGAGGGGGATTTAGACTGGAGAGAAGGAAGAAATTTTTGATGCTGAGGGTGGTTTGGCCCAGGTTGCCCGGAGAGGTGATGGAGGCCCCATCCCTGGAGACATTCAAGGTCAGGTTTGATGTGGCTCTGGCAACCTGCTCTAGTTACAGGTGTCCCTGCTCCCTGCTGGGGGGTTGGACCAGGTGATCTTGAAAGGTCCCTTCCAACCCAAAGCATTCTGTGAATGAGGTGCTGAGAGGTCCAGAGCTGTCCCTGAGCTCGTTAGGAGCCCTGGTGGTGTTTCCACTGAACTCAGGAGCAGGATGCAGAGTCAAAGGCTGTACAGGGCTAACTTCCACGTGACTTGTCTGTGTTGTGCACTTGTGCTCCTTGCTCCATCCTTATCCCACGCCACTCAGGTGCTGCTTTTGCTCTGGTGTCCCCAGAACGTGACCCTGCTGTACACCATGCGGGTGGCAAACATCGACAAGTTCGAGGAGAAGCTGAGAGCTGCAGAGGATGAGCTGAACATTGATGAGAGAGAGAGAATCCCCGTTTCCTACAAACATCCTGGATTTTATGGAAAGTATGCTACAAATCTGTGCTTACTGTTGATGTCCCATTAGTGACAACATCCCTCAGAAAGGGTAGTCACTGTCAACTAAATGTTGTTATATAAATATAGAACCAAAGAAGTGGTCTCAGTTTTGGAGCACTTACCCTGTCTTTCAGAAATAGGTGTGCTCTAGATGTACTTCAGTGTTTCAAAAGTAGGGCCCAGGAAGGTGTCTGGAGCTGCAGTAAGCATCAGACCCAAACGCTTCGGGTCAGTGTCAGGAAGCCTGAGGAGAGTCTGTGCACAGCTGAGCACTTCTGGTCCTTGAAATCAATGATTCAAGTGCAGAGTGTGGCAGAAATCCTGACTCAACAAGGGTTGTTATGCCCTGCTCTGTGGAGAACACTGGTGCTGCAGAGAGTCTGGCCTGTTCAGAGGCTCTGAGGAAGGCCTGTGTTGATGGTTCACCCTGTGAAAATAAACTCCTAGGTCTGGCCTGCTTCTCCAGCAGCTGTAGATCAGAGGACAACAGCCCTCATTGCTCACTCCAGCTGTGAGCCACACACTGAGTAGAGCAGCTTTGATGCTGGCAGATAAAATCTCAGTGAGAGGGGTACTTCTGTTAAATGGACAGCCCCTTCCTGTTACCTGAAGCCAAGATCCTCTGCTTAAAAAAAAAACCCAGCCTGCTCAGAGCTTTTAATTCTGAAATAAGCTCTAGTGAGCAAGAGGAAGGAAGATCTGTCAGGAGACTATAGAGCACCAGCTGGGCTTTATTCTGTGCTTTCATACCATGTACTAATGCCACTTGCTGCTGAGGTGGCTTGTTTGCCCTTCTGATAAGGGCAGGATTTATGGGGTCCAGAGTACACCACAGACCTGTGGAGCTCCCTCCCTGGGCTGTTGAACAAGTCCACACCATCCCTGATGGCTCTTACACTGGTGTAGAAAGATGCTTTCCCTTAGTGTGGGGAGAGACTCCAGTGTTTGGAGAGCTCTCCGCTAATTGCTTCTTCCCAAGTTCCAACAGAGAGAGATGAAATCCTGCCTGCTAAGTACAGAAATCCCAGCTCCTGACAACAGAAGAGCCCAAAATGTGAAAGAAATGTCATCTTTGTGTGCGAGTGGATACCTGGGCTGGGTTTTGGCTTATTTGTCCTTTGAATGACACTTGTGCATTTTTAAAACATGGTTTATATGGAGATAAACATGTTTCATTGATTATGCAATATGAGATCTTTAATTGAAATTCAGAACTTGGCAATTTTCTCAAACTTGTGTATAAAAAAGAAGAGTAGACTGAACAGTCAGCCACCAACACAAGCTGCTTTCCCAGCCCCAGACTTTTTTTTTTTTTAAGAGATACTGTATGGTCTTTCAGGAGACCTGAGGAATGTCTGGAGAGTTCAGAGTGTCAGTCTGGAGTCTGAACCCATGAGGTGCAGAGCACTTGCAGCTTGGATTCAGTTTACCCTGAGATGTGGGCACTTCGTGTGTTTCAGAGTCAATCCTGTTTGCATAGCTGACAAACTGAAGGTGACTTTCAGGTTCCAGTGTTGCCTGAGATCTCTCACTGAGAAGAAAGAAGTGCAGCTGGGTTTATAGCACGTTTTGGTTCCCTTGCTTCAGTAAATCACCCCTCTGTGAAAGATGGTACACACATTCTTAGTTCAAGATAACACAGAATTGTAGCAAGACCAGAGGATTTCACAGATGTGTGAAGCAGAGCCCCACAAATCTCAACCTGTCATCAGACATATGATCCTTTTTCCTCCTGTTGAAAGCATCTTTTGTTTAGAGCTCACAGGCTATTTGTCCTCAGCGTGTTTGTCTTGTAGCTGTATTAGACCCACAGTGTCATCTCTGCTCCCCATCTCCCTCCCAATGCAGCTGGTACTACAAGGGATCCAGAAAATTGATGGTGTTGGTTGTTGTAGTGCTTCCTTCTGACATCAGGACTTGTGAGGGACTTGACCAGGGAGGGCCAGCCAGACTGGGCAGAGCAGTCTCTTAACAGGAGACCCACACTGGGGTTTCTGCCAGGACTGGGAGCTGGAATGTCCCTCGTGTCACCAGACACAGGTCCTCTGCAGGGACCTGCCAGCACCCAGGCTCTGCTCTGGGGGTGATGTCACTGCCTGGAGGTCTGAGTTGTTTCACAAGTAGAAATGCTTCTCTAGGGGGTGGGGAGGTCAAATTTCTTCCATAGTTATAGCAGTATTTGCCAGTGGCCTCTGTTTAACTTCCTAGGTTATGCAATTGTTGGGGTTTTTTTTATACATATACACCTACAAAGGTTCCATTTCCTTGGTCAGGTCTGCTCCTTGCTGCACTTTCAGCCTAAATGTCAGGCCCTTTAAAATCCTGAAAATAGCTATCACAGAGTCACTGAGGTGGGAAAGACCTTTCAGATCAACTCCAACCGTTACCCCAGCACTGCCATGTTGATGAACATTCACCACGTTGTGGCTGAGCACTTCAGTTTCTCCCTGCCTTGCTTTTGTCCCCCCAGTGATGTCATCTCCCTGATCGTGACACTGATGGCAGTGTCCATGTTGTGGAGCATCTTCCGCCTCATCCGCGTTGCGGGGCGGGCCGGAGGCTTCAACGCCTTTGTGAGTATCTGCATTTTGATGTTGCTTTGCAGCCTGGGGGTCGTTTTAGTCTCCTGCTGGCCTAACCTGCCCTTCCCCTTGCCTCTTTTCCTGTGCTGAGCATCTGTGGAGTCTCTGCTCTCAGCCGAGGCCCTTTCTCTCCCTGGTGGCAGGAGGGGCTGAGCGCCGTGAATCTGCTGCCCGGTTTGCTCAGCTCTTTTCAAAGCCTGTTAATGTGTTGCAGCTGCAGATGGTGGTTTTTTTTTCTTTTTGCTGGGTCCTGCCAATATGCCTCCCATCCAGCCAGGAATTGCTGCTTTCTGCAAAACGAGTTCTCAATTTATAAAATATGTTCAGATTCTGGATTTCATTATGCGCTGGCCTGTTCCCCTCCTGCCACATGCCTTGCTTGCAACATCAGTCAGCTCTCCTCCTCCCCTCTTCCACCCTGGCCTGCATCAGCTGATGGAGCTGTAGAAATCAGCCTGGGATGCTCTGCTATTGAGCACAGGGATTTTGCAATAAAAATCGGGTGAATTCAGTCCCTTGTTAGATTTCCCCCTCGGTCTCCTCTGGCTTTGGGATTCCCCACACGAAGGGATGCAGCTGTACAGGGAAGGGTGTTTTAAAGAAGTGTTGAGTAACAGGGGCCTTGAGGACTAGCTTCTGCTCTTGCCTAAGTGGGGGCAGCCAGGCCCTGTGTCTTTAACCCCTCGTTTGGGTAAGATGGTGTTCTGAGGCCTGAGGAGCTGTACACTTCATTCTCAAAGGAAAAGAAACTCACCCCCGAGTAGCTGTTTTCAGTAGAGCATAATGAGCAGTCACAAGTAGGGCATTTAGCTAAATTCTTGTTTTGACTGTCACTGTGGCTTCACACACACCAGGAGACTGAAATGTGGTGGCTGTTATAGCTGAGAACCTACAGTTCTGTCCTGGGTTGTGTTGCAGCAGAAACCGGCAGCAAGGAAGGGCAATTATTTACCATCAATACATATTCCTCAAAACTACCCATGCCTCAATACCTATCCCACGTGCACTGAGGTTCCAAGCATTCAGAAAACAGAATATCTCAAGGTTTTGAGCATTCTGCATGTTTTTAATAAATGTCCCTGCCTGGTCCACATGGAGCATTGAGATGGATTGTGTTGGGACTCCTTCTGCAAGTTTGTTCTGTCTCTTCCCAACATGATAAATAGTTTGAGTCTGTCTGTGAAGTGTTTTCAAAGCAAAAATTAGTAAAGCACCGAGGGGTGGCTGTTTTTAGGGGCAGCTTTTCCCCGTGTTGAGCTGGCTCCCAGAGCACAGCAGTTTTCCCCACAGTTGCTTTGTCCAAAGTCAGAGCACATCTTCACTGCTTGTGCTGCCTTCCCCAGAACCAGCTGAAGATGGCTCGTTTCACCATCGTGGATGGGAAGTCTGGAAAAGGGATTGAATGCATGAGGCAAAAATGGAAGTCAAAGAATTTGTGGACTATTTAAAGGTACATAAAAGTAGAACAAAATAAGTGCTTGCTACCTGTCTTCTGGGCTAGATGGCTGACCTGGGGAGGAGGGTGTGTTCTTAGAGTTGTAGAATCATTTAAGTTGGAAAGTACCTTTAATATCATCGAGTTCAACCATTAACCTCACTATACTAAGTCCACTGCTGACCTGTGTCCCTCAGCACCACATCTCCACAGCTTGGAAACCCCTCCAGGGGTGGGGACTCCACCCCTCGGAGGGCGGGGACTCCACCGCTGCCCGGGGCAGCCTGGCACAGAAGACGTTTTTCCCAAAGCCCTAAACCTCTCCTGGTGCAGCTTGAAGCTATTTCCGCCTGTCCTATCACTTGTTAGCTGGGAGAAGAGCCCGAGCCCCACCTGGCTCCAGCCTCCTGTCAGGGAGCTGTGCAGAGCCAGAAGGTCTCCTCTGGGCCTCCTCTGCTCCAGGCTCAGCACCCCCAGGTCCCTCAGCTGCTTCTCACCAGACCCTTCCCCAACTGCATTGCCCTTCTCTGGACACACTCCAGCCCCTCAAGGTCCTTCTTGAACTGAGTGGCCTAAAACTGAACACACTACTCGAGGCAGCCTCACCAGTGCTGAGCACAGACGATCCCTGCCCTGGTCCTGCTGGCCACAGTAGTGCTGATCCAGGCCAGGATGCAGGTGGCCTTCTTGGCCACCTGGGCACACACTGGCTCATCTCTTGACCAACACCCCACCACCAACCCCGGTCCTTTCCCTGGGGCACTTTCCAGCCACTCTTCCCCCAGCCTGGAGCACTGCAGGGGGTTACTGTGACCCAAGGGCAGGAGCCAGCCCTTGGCCTTGTTCAACCTCATCCCACTGGCCTCGGACATTGGTCAGCCTGGCCAAACCCCCCTGTAGAGCTTTTCTGCCCTCTTCTCTTCATGATACTGAGCAGCCTCTGCTTAAACAAGCTGCCAGCTCTTTATGCTGTGATCAGCATGACTCAATCTCTGTATTTCCAGTCCCTTAGCAGGAACGCAGCTGTAGCTGCTCCTGTTAGCAGCTCAGAGTTACTCTGGCTGAGAGGTGTATCAGGAAGCTCTGGGAGGCCTTGTCCTTGTGCAGGTGCTTCATGTGAGCTGTGGGTCTGATGGAGCTGTGCTGTTCTTGCAGAGTCCTGATCGCTACCTTCAGCTTGGGGCTAAAGTGCCCAAGGGTGCCTTGTTGCTTGGGCCACCAGGCTGTGGGAAGACCTTGCTGGCAAAGGCTGTGGCTACAGAAGCACAAGTGCCATTTTTGGCCATGGCAGGCTCCGAGTTTGTGGAGGTGATAGGAGGTAGGTAAGCTGCTGGGGACAAGGGTGGGCAGCTCACTTGGTGAGTGGTGGGTTTGGAGGGTGTTGGCTGGGCCTCTCAGAGAGGACAGAGGTTTTTAGCCTGTCTTTGCATGGGGAGGATGAGTTGGGAAGTTCTACTGAAAATATCAAAGGTTTCCACTGGTGGAGAATACTTAATTATATAGTCTCTGAAGTGCATGGCCTCTGAATTGCTAGTTTTTCTTTCTGACAGTTTGCAACCATGGTTCTTCACCTGAAAGCATTCTCTCTGACTTCCCTGTACCTATTATTAAAGCCATTGACTGAAGCTTCCTGCCTTGTATGAGATTGCTGATGGATTTTTCTGCTGCTCCCTGCTGATGGGGAAAATACGGCCTCTTTGTGCCTTGGCATTTCCACCTTCCTCCTAGATCTCATGAGAGCTGACAAGGGTCAGTGTGCAGGAACAGGCAGAATCTTGCTGCTTGACCTGTGGAAGGACAGGAGCTCACGTTAGGAGCTGGGAGCAGAGCAGCTGTAGGAGTCCCCCTAGGAGCAGCTTCGGAGGCTCCAGGAGGAGCAGCGCCTAAGGACTAACCACGAGTTGTGTTTTGGGGGCGTGGGGGGGGGCCCAGCCATAGCCCGGGGGTTTGTCTGGGGGCAGATCACCCTCTCCTCTCCTCTCCCGCTGCGCGGCAGCTCTGAGGGCCGTGTGGTGCCTTGCAGGGCTGGGGGCGGCGCGGGTGCGCAGCCTGTTCCGCGAGGCGCAGGCCCGC